GTCGGCGCGGAGGGATAAACTAGCAACAGGTATGTTACTGTTTGAAGAAAAAAATCAAACCTTACCGTTATTTTGAAAGAAAAAACGTCGGGGCAGATTACAATATTAACTGGTGTGTTAATATTTGTTCAATTCTTCTGCAAAGCAAAAAAGTACCGAATGTTAGCTTGGGTTCAGTCTGTGGACCGTTAAGCTAGCCCGGCTACTGATATTGGAGATGTGCTCCGAAGCGAGAAGAGGTGTTTGAATGACGCTGCGACGTAGCGCAAGCTACTTAAAGGGTGGGTGGATTCCCTGACGTAGACCTCAAGATCACCAGCCAATCAGGATTGGCGTGATGAGATTGATGCTTCTGTTTGCATACGCATTGAGGCGCATCCCATAGTGAGACATCGAACGGAGTGTTATGAATGAGAACTGGGTTGCTCGGATACCTAGTGATTTTAGGACTGTTTAACTGACTCTTGTGATGGGATAAGATTTTTCAATTTGATTCATCAACCTGACTAGGCAGATCAATGCACATTTCAGTTTGTGTCAACACGTGACAGCTGGTTCTCTTTCTGTGCGGAGCCTGTTTACTTTTTTAAGGGAGGTATCAGTAGTTTCATGCCACCAAACTAAAACAGAACTGCTCCAGAGAGCTCAGGGCGGCAGAAAGAGAAAAGAAGAAGGCCAGCGACTGACTGAAAGCAAAAGAAGCTGTGGGCGAAATAAGGCTTGCAGAAAATATTTAACAAAGCAGGAAGGGGGTTAAGCAAACTAATGCACACAAAGACATACAGTCGAGTTATGTTTGACTCAGAAGTTTGACTCAGAATTCCGCTAGAATTGTAAGCATATGAGAACACTGGAAAACATACATGAACACAACACCAGGAAGCTTAATACATACTACATTCAGGTGTGCCTACCATCACCCCACCCCTCTATTACCAATACTTATTTGTGTAAGGTGGATAAATCATCGGAGGCAAGTAATGACTCACCTATGTGGATATATGTTTATGATATTTAGACAGCTGTGCATGACCGTAAAATGTCCAACTGACAAACCATAAACTCATGCTCATATTCAGCAGAACAAAAGATGGAAAATATGTGGGCACTCTGTGGACCTCTGTCGCCTGTCAGCGGAACTTACATGATGCCGTTTAAAAAATATAATAATAAAGGGCGGTGCCGGCCATCAGCGAACCGAGCTGGCCTTTCTGCGCGACTGTCACTCAAATGCGGGAAATAGTCTCAATTTGTGGGACGCGGGACAAATGATAAAAATGCTGTGTGTGCAGTCCCGCACAAAAAGGGACACCTGGGGACTTTCTCATTTCACTAATTTCCCCTCCTCGAATCCTAGGTCCTCTGGTAGTGACCCAGCACTTTGGCTCGACCAAAAATCGTTTATAAATGTGCTATATAAATAAAACTTGATTTGATTTGACCCGGAAATGATTTTCGGTGCGCCATGTTGATGGACATCTCATTTCTCTAATGGCACATTTCCACTACAGCGCGGTTTAAGCGTGCCGTGCCCAGCCCGTTTTTGGTTGTGTTTCCACTAGGCGTAGTTCCGGCTAGCGGGTACTTTTTCACCGTTTTCTGGCTCTCCAAAATCGAGGTTCTTTCCGGGCCAACAACCGGGCTGAGTATGCTAAACTAGTGAGAGAATCGCTGGCAACTACAACAAAATGAACATATTTTACCGTGATGTAATTGTAATACACGTTTCAAAATGATGCCGAAGTAACAACATACTGATACCGGTTAGTAGAAACCGTGTTTCGCATTGAAGATGACGTAACGGCTCCGCCTACACTGCGTTACTATAGTTACTAACCCAGTTCCTAAACTGTAATGGAAACGTAGCATAAAGTGAGCCTGGCCTAACAAGGCCTAACGAGGCCTAGCCATACCGTACTAAGCCGAGCGAGGCCCTGCAGTGGAAAAGCACCATAAATGCACATCGAGGATCGAGCGTCGAGGAGGCTCTCTGGAGGAGCTATAATCGAGGATACACTGATGGGTCCTCCACGTTTCTCCACGGCTCCTCCGTGGATGCATTTCCGGCAACAGTGATGTTTAAAAGAGTCGTGACGCACGGCCGGACTTATCTCAGCCAATGACAGCTCTGCATGCATCCCCTGGATATTATTTTATTAACTGCTTTCATCGCAACGCGATGTTTACAGTGAGAACAGCTGTGACAGGGGCACCTTAAGGGGGTGAAAAGTTAGGACGATTCTAAGGGCCCGTGACTGACAGGGGCCCAAACCATTTTAGAACATTAAGAAAAAAAATGTTAAGGTCCCATGTCATGCTTTTCCGGTTATTACCCGTCCCCTTGTGTGTTTTGAAGGTTTTTATGCATGTAAACGGTCTGCAAAGTCACAAACCCTCAAAGTACACCCTGTAGCGAGTAAAACTCTAACACAGAAAAGACCTGCCCACAGAAGGAGCTCCAACAAGCCGTTTAGGACAGAGAGTGAATACACATACTTTACAAAGATGCTGTATGAGAAACCAATGAGATTTTGGAAAATTGCACAATATAAATCTATTTTAGTATACCTCAACAATGGAATTATGATCAGTAGAAATGTAACCAATGTGATGTATTTTCATGGGGCCCAAAATCCCTGGCGGCGCCCCTGGCTGTGAGGTCCGTGCAGAAAGCAGAGCAGTGTGTATAATATATATCACTCAGTATAACAGGCCTAAAATACTCTCTTTATTTGCTTTAGTTTACTAGATATCTACAAACAAAGAGTCGATATTTGTCTAAAACCATTTAGTGCTTCACATAATAAAATATGTGGGGGGGTGCTAGTGACTTATCCGACTGGCCCACATCGTCCGACCGGCCCACTTCAGGACCGGCCCATCGGGATTCGTCCCGATGGCCAGTCCGCCCCTGGTGCTGCCCCTCACACACACACACACACACACACATACATACACACACACACACACACACCACACACACACACACACACACACACACATTTTTCATTTGCCCTGTACGATGGGCGCTGTAAGTGATGAAAATGGGGGATGTTGGCTTATCTGGCGCCCGCAGCTCACAGCCAAAGTGCGAGTGAGCGTGGGAGCGAGCGAGGGAGAAAGGGAGGGTGCACCGGTACCAGCGCTGTTGTTATTAGCATCTGGTGCTAGCTGCTCTAACGGATATTAGAAGAAGATGTTTCTACAATACTGTGGAGGGAGAGTCCTCTCCAGTCAGACTGAGAGGCTGATAACTACAGCTCAGTGAGGTAAAGAACTCTGAGTGTTTAGATAGTTCACTTTAGTCTAAGTTATCTCAGTGGGTCCCAAACGTTTTGATCACAATTTATGTAAACACATATGTCCAAGGCACTCCTTTATAACTATTGGGATAAACAGGTTTGAAATCATTTCAATGTATACTATAGGACAGTAAACCAAAACATATAGTTTAAAACTGGAGAGATAAAAGAAATATGCATAAATAAATAAATGTTAACTAAAATAAGATATGAATGAACAACAAAATTAAAATAAGTTACATTAATTTGTTATTGGCTATGGTAGGTTGTTGGTTATGTTCACATACTTATTTGATTATTAAAATGTAAACCGATCTTTTTCATATGGGTGTTTAGAGTTGTACCCCCTAGATCTAGTAGTAATTATGCTCTAAGTGCACCAGATTGAAGCATTTTACTTTAAAATGTTCAACATTTTCTTCCGGGGGGGGCATACCCCCGGACCCCCCCCTAGAGGATGTGGCGTCCCCCATTATATTGTGTATTCCTTGGATACGCTATTGATCTTTATCTTTTCTACTGTACAATTCTCTGGCTGGGGGCGGGGGCGCCAGCTAAAATCTCGCCTAGGGCAGCAAATTGTCTAGAGCCGGCCCTGCACACGCTTCAAATCAAGTTGCATAAATACTACGTTTTTATTATAATCACTGTGAAATGTATTATGTTTTCGTCATTATTACAACAAATACACACTTGCAACCGATAACACTGGCAATGATTTTATATTTATTAGACTATTAAAAAAAAAATCATGCTTCAAAAAAGTGGGGGCTCCAAATAAGTGGGGGGACGGTGATCCCTCGTGTGATGTCCAACGACCACTACACCACTGATCACACCAAAGAAACACACTCTACAGTACACTAAAGTTCTTAGAATTAAAGGCCCCATGGTTTTTGTTAAAATTGTTGATAAAGATAATTGTAAGTATTGTTGTTAAATTAAGAATACATCCTCAGCAATGAAAAAACTATTTACTTAAGCCTGTATCAGTTGCAAAACAAAAACATTTTTAAAAACATAATTTCATTTCAAATATCTATGCAGGTTTTTTGAGTGTTTTTATCTATCATTAGTAATCTAGTACTACTCTATACAGCGAGGGAGAGCTAGGAGCATGCAGAACCGAAGACAGCTAGATTACTGATAAACAAAACAGGAAGATTATGACTAAGACCACATTAAAACTGTGACTGTCAGCTAGATAAGCAGAGTTCCTGTGTGAACTGAAGTGAAATACTGTAGAGATGTGTATCTTCCTTTGTTGGGTTTGTTCACTAAGCAGGCCTTGCTACTTCAGAAAAGCAAAGACTGGATGCAAAGTGCATCCTGTATCTTAAACCTTTGAATAGATATAGCAGTGACGTCCATATTTAATGGAAATGAATGGAATATATTTGCATTGTTGCAACGGAAACGCATGTCCGTTGTTTGACATCCTTCCTTCCTCTATTCATACACTCATGTAGAATAGTTTCCTGTGTGACTTCCATCATATTTACCTGTGAGGTTGCTATTGTTAATTGTTGGGAAAATACAAATGAGAAGCAGTGTGCATTCAAATCAACAGAGTGATAAAACAGTACAGAGAAAGAGAGGGGCACGTGAGGTTACTGTGAACGATGGTAACAGGCAAATTATTATTTCTGTATAACTGTGATCTCTGCTTGTCTATGTGTGTGTGTGAGGACCACTGACCGCCTGCTGGGGGCACCACTTGGTCCAGCAGCTTCATGCTCGTCCTCTTCCAGATCTTCTTTATCACAGCTCTGAGCTCCTCATTGGCTTGCTCCAGGTTACCTTGAAAATGGTAGAGAAGGTGGTCACTTTGTTTGAAAGCACTAAGCTATCAATTCATTGGTTTATTAAGTGGTGTCTGGCTGATAACTATTAATTATAGCTCTCTCTCAAACACACACAAAGATCACAACACAAATCTGGATGTTTAATGTTATAATGAACACAATTCCTGATGGTAAATGAATACAATGGGATGAAGATGGGATTATGTTAACACAAACAACATGTTGCGACTGAATTGTAGTGCAGTTATCAAATGTTATGTTTTCTGTAGGCCGTGGAATCGAACTTTTATTGAATATCTCTAGCTCCCTCTAGTGGAAAATTGTATATATGTCTTCATGATCACACACAAGTAGTTCAGACAGAGTTGTGAATAGGGGACTACTTTATTAAAAGGCATAACTAGCATGACAGATATTAATTAAAAATATACCATGCAGCATCTCAGAGTTGATGTCTTAAATATGAGATCATCAAATCCAAGACTGCAGCCCCATAAGGAGATCAATCAAAAATATGAATACATTTAAATCCCAAACTACAAAAGGCCACTCTGTACATTTCTCTCCCTTTCCCCTACCAAACACAGAAGAGTTTAAACTCCCTTAAAGTTGTCGGCGAAGGTTTCAAAAACAGTATTGTACTTTACTTAGTGGGGTTTCTTGGCTGTAATCTCAAGTAGCTTTCACGCCCGTTAGTTCCAGTGCAAATAGAAGGATTCTCTGCTATATTTAAAAATAAGTTGTTGAAAATATCAGATGGCTTGAAGGTGCAGACTCACCTTCGGTTTTAATCTTGAGAGCAGTGCGGACTAGAGCGAACAAGGTGGCATTAAACATGACCGTCCCGTCACTGTTGAGGGGCATGTTCATTGCCACCAGACGCTGCAACAGAAATGCAGATATACCATTCGGATCACATGTAAAATGAAAGCTAGGGATTTATATGTCAATTTTGTATTATTGTCACCCTCAATAATCATTGTCATGCATGTGCATAGTGTGTTTTGTCGTGGAAACCTACCTTACAGGCCACTCTGTGAGGACAGAGCTTGCCAAAGCCCAGCGGAGGCTGGATCCTCCTGAGCAGAGTCACCACGTCAAGGTGCTTAATCCTGCCCCTGGCAACAAGATACATAATACTATTAGGCACAACACAACTGAGACAAACAATCATCATCCCATGTGTGCTGTATCAAATCCTCAATAGTGGTATACTTTTTTGTAGGATTAGTAAGTGGAAAGATGTTGTTGATAGTAGAACTGCAACGATTATTTTACCTATCAATTGGTCATTTGAGAAAAATTATCCGCTTTTTTGATTAATCGATTGATCAGAAACTACATTTTTCGTATAAAATGTCCTTTTCGTTCTCCTTATATGAAGATTTCCCTGTTTTATATCATTTTTAACTGCAGATATTTGAGTTTTAGGCAGACAAAACAGGACATTTAGAGATACTTTATCATCGTACTCAGAAACTGCAATGGAGATGTCTTTCGATATTTTCTGACATTCTAATATATACAATTATTAGTAATTTTGGTCAGAAATGAATAAATAGTTGATAGTGAAAAATGATGTTAGTTGCAGCCATAGCTCTCTCAAACTGCGTCCTGACACTCACTTTGCTTCAGGGTCGTATTCAGACCAGATCCTTTTGAACTCATCCAGGTGATGCGGTCCCAGAATGGACCAATCGCGGGTCAGATAGTCAAAGTTATCCATGATGACAGCAACAAACAGGTTGATGATCTGAAACCAGGACAGGCAAAAATATTTCGCATTTCTTGTGGTATTTTATTTCATACAGGAATGTGCCTGTTCAAACATGACTTCTACTGCACAAAATGAAATGTCTGAAGATTACCAGGAAAGCACAGAGCATGTAGAAGCTGATGAAGTAGATGATGGCGAAGCCGCTGCCGCAGGTTTTCTCCTCTCCGGAGTTGTATTCCGACTCTGGATCACACAGTTTCCCCGGCAGACAGGCCAGCATGATCTCCTGCCAGGCCTCTCCTGTGGCACACCTAACAGAACAAGAACAGCATCGACACACAAGCACAATGAGGGGTTTTACCCACATGTATTTATTTATTCATGCAGTTACTTATAATGGCTTATTGCTACACACCTGAAGAGCATCAGGACAGCTTGAGGAAAAGTTTGAAAGTTGTTGTTGCGGTTGATTTGTGTCCCATCCACCATGGCTATTTTTCCAAACACCTAAAAAAAGAAACATCAGTCTGCTCTATATTCTTACAATAACACAGGAATTTTCCAACTTCAGTCCTAATGCCTCTAGTAACCAGTCAAGCTGCAGTCTTCATCCATGTCTTTCCAAAATGTCATTACATTGTCAATCTCAAAAATGTGATGAATAGTGAATACATAATATTAAAGGCTTGCAGTGACCATGACCTTTGACCACCCAAATGTGTTTTTTTTAGTCTAAAAATATTAGAATCAAATCTTTCATGGCCTTCACGAGAATTGGATGTTGAACTGATGCACGAACAAACCAAAACAATAACGCATAGGCATAATAAAAGGGTGGTAAATTAAAAACAAGGAAACAGTCACTCAGGGCACGCACATCCTGCATGGTTACAAACAGGCTTTAGATCATATTACCTGCATCCCAATTACAGCATAGATGAAGAACAGCATGGCTATCAGGAGTGCAACATAGGGGAGAGCCTGAGCAGGTAAAAAAAAGAGTTAGACATAAAAAGACCAATGACAGCAAGAGTTCTCTCTGATATGATGAATTAATAATTTTAAAGATTAAAGAGGGATGTTTATAGGCTGCATATGTTGCCTCCTCACCTGGAAGGACTTGATGAAGGTCCACAGCAGAGTCCTGATGCCCTCCCCCCTGCTCAGAAGTTTGACCAATCGCATCACTCTGAACAGGCGGAAGAAGGTGATGGAGATACGAGCGCTGTCCTCTGTGTTCTGAACGGGAGGAGATTGGGAGTGATTAGGGGATGAAAATAGATAAAACATTAAAACACAGACAGAATGATAAAGCTCTGTATCACTCACTCATTCATGCAGTCAGACATAGAGGCATCCTTTCATTCATCATGTTTGAGTATACTAGCATACAAGTGGTGTAAAATGGTTATGAAGAAATCTTTCCATTTGTGATCTTTGGCATCTTCGCAAAGACAACAATCAATGCACATGCAGAGTAACAGTGTTCGATCACAATGATGTGACCAACAGACCTGTAGGACATACAGCACATTTCATTCTGTATAACTGATACCAAAACAGGCAACAGAGATAAAATCTGCATTCCAAAGTAAAAAAACAAAAGACAAACTGTAATTGGGTTCTTACAATTGACCAATGACAAGAAACTCAAAGTAGCCTATTGACAACATGTTGGTAATCTGATAACAAACACCTGGGCAAGCTACGTGGAAATGAAAACATGAGACAAAAAGACCAAACAGTGTTTTCTGTACGTCTGCATCATGCCATGCGCCTAAACAGGATGTGGTCTCAACAACAAAAGTTAAACCATGAAACTGTAGCCAAAATGAAACAAACCAGATGGATTAAAAACAAACAAACATTGAGAGTTCAATCACAAACCATGACACAACTATAAGTGACACCATAAAGCATCTCAATGTTTTTCATAAGTAAGTGAGCGACAGTGACACAAATTATATCTTGATTCTTGGTGATCACAGAATGGCGAGGGGCTTTCATCGTTTCCTTACCCCGGGCTCCACTATCACCTTGACGACTGGAATGGCTGTCGACTTGAAACCAAAAGCCTAAAGTTAATCCGAGTTACACAAACCAGCTTCACAGCACTGAATCATTCACCAGTCAATGCTGCATCAAACACATATCATCAATACCTTCGAATAATCAACATATTACACCTTCACCTAACTACAAAGCATTACAACTTAAGCCACAAACATAACATCATCATCGTGAAGCCGTTCATGCAAAAGCTTTACAACATATCCTCAGCAGTGACGCCACACATGCAGCAATGCAAGCACTCAGTGTTAGAGGAAAATGTGTTCTCCAGAGGTTTTCTTTTAGAAAAATATAGTATAAGGGCGCTAACGTCACTTCCGGACAAAATTACGGCCCCGCCCACTTTCCGGCAAAGATAATGCACTAGCGAATCAGAAAATAATAGTTTCTTCTTGTCTTAAAGCTGCTGAGTCATATATTGCACCTCAAACAACAAATAAATCCAGTGTTACGGTTTCTTAACTTCCTCTACAGAAAAAAGGACAGTAAAAGAAACGTCTGATTCACAAATCACAGTTTAAGTGTAAGCTTCTGCCTGCCACTCGTCTACCGGCAAACCAACTGAACAAAGCTGTCTATGCCGTCTGACGGTGTATTCGACACGATTTTGATATTTCTTGAGTAATAATACAGAATACATACAGAAATATTGTTTTCTCGCATCACTTTCAAATTTAACAAGGAACATCTGCATTTTGGTATGAGGGTGCACGCCGAAAGTAAGACGGCACAGCGCTCCTGTTACCTGCTTTAGACAAAACCCTGGTACTCTATACTGCCTTAGTGATTATAGTAGCTGTTGAAATAGAAAAATAAGGACAAAAGCACATTATGGGAATATGCTGAAATTATTTGTCCTGTTTTCACATGACTTCTGTCAACATGTCTGGCTCCGATTAGGGCTGCTCAATTAATCGTATTTTAATCGCGATTACGATTATGGCTTGCAACGATTACGAAAACAACGTAATCGAAATAAAACAATGATCTTTTTATTATTATTTATTATTTTTCTCCAATAAATTGATGTTTTCAAAGTAAATTGATAATCGTTTTAAATAATCGTGATATCAATTATTGACCCAAATAATCGAGATCCTAGTCTTCAGTACAGGTGGCAATATCGTCACCTGCCTGCGCTCATCTCTGAAACCAGACCATGTAAACAGGCTGGTGTTTCTTGCAAAAAAGAGATGACATGAGCAGCCCTACCAGCATTTGCCATGGTGGCCTAAACATTTTTATTTAGTCTTAAATTGTAGTTCAATATTTATTTCCTGTTACTTCTGGACCATGACGGTTGGCCAGCCTTTAATGTTTAACTGAGTGGAATATGTTGAATATGTTTTACCAAAATGTTGGCTATATTATGTTAAGGAGTTTTCAGGTTGTGACCGTACACTGCAACATGTTTGTTGATCTAGTTTATTGGTATTTATTATTTTGATATTATTTATTTAAATGTAGACATGAATGTATAATTTATTTTATTTTATTTTTGTATTGGTTTTTCAGTTGATTACCCTGAACGTATAATTCAACAGTTAAAAAGTTCAAATTATTATTTGTATTTGTTTTAAATTACAATAAATTGATGTTTTCAAAGTCAATGAATAATCGCATTTAATAATCGCAATTACAATTATTGACCCAAATAATCGAGATTATGATTTTTGCCATAATCGAGCAGCCCTAGCTCCGATGCCCCCTAGACTTCTTGTTAGGATCGGACTTAGTTGTAGACTTTGTCCTTCTAGTGTTCCTGAGCTGCCTGTTACGTCCTTTGCAGTTTATCAAAGGAAATGGATACAGAGTTTGAGGAGGACACTTGTTCTGCGATTAGTGCATTTAAGACTTTAATTAGCTAATGATTTAAATGAGGGCTATTGAAGTCTTCGTTCTGAGAGGTTTATTTATCTCACGAAAATGTGGATTTACAGGCATCTTTCTCAATGAAAGTCAGAAGGGAATAGTACTTTTGGGCCCCATAGCATCACGGTTACACACCTGCAACTGTTCTCATTCCCAATCACATTATTCCCCCCACCTTAGCTGTTCAACCCCTCTCTTCACTTGCACTTGTATACATATTTAAGTCCTGGTTTTCCTTCATTCAAAGTGAGAGACAAACTGGAAAAACAAACATATTCATTTGGAAAATAAAACTGCAGCAAGCATTAAGTCAGTGTTAACAGCAGCTGCAAACAAGAATACAGTCAGAGTGGCTTTGATGTAGCAGTCTTGCAGAAATAAAGGAGGAACAGATAACAAAATTATCACGTGATTTTGAGCTGCATTCAAAGACAACGTTCCAAATTCAAGTAAGACAATTTAAAAAATGTATTTAATGTTGAAAGGAGCATAATTGTTCTCATAATAAAGAAAATGATGGGGTTATACTTCAACAGCGTTAGTAATCACAACTTTATCGTTAAAATGTGGTCATATATGACGAACGTTGGATGGTTATGAACAGATTAGGCATAAAACAAGAACGTTGTCATTTGAATGCAACTCTAATGCTTGAGAAAGGTCCTCTAGCTGGGAGCGCAGGAGCCCTCAGCTAAAGGCCCTCATTCAAGAAGGGGGTGAATGAGTTATAAGTGATTACTTACATTGATCTCAGTGATGGCAATGTCAACCACGCTACCCACAACAATTAAGGCATCAAACGTGTTCCATGCATCAGCAAAATAGTTCTGCAAGCACGAGCAACAAAGACACAGAAAAGAAGAGAGAGACAACAGAGCATGAAAGAAAAAGCCAAAGAAGAGGATTTTGAAAGATAGAAAGAGAAGAACATAAAAAAGTTGTGATTAGATTTTAAAAAGTGAGGTTGAAAGTCAAATCTGAGAGTATTAACTTGTTTCATTTCAAGAAATAGTGTTTTCAAAGCTTTGCCGCTCTGTTTTATAAATGAACCAACATCATGAATATTTCATTTCAAAGTGATTTATTCCAACTGATGCAGTGTCAGGCTGACAAAAAGGGCTACCATATACTTAAAACCATACAATTTAACCCAATATAATTCATATGGAATAGTGGCTTTAATATAACGAATGTTTTGCCATTTAATGCACAGGTAGCTGATAGAAAGGTTCCAAGCTAATACGAATGTATTCGGTCTATGGTGCTCATCAACCTCAAGAAAGGCAAAGACAACAGATTCATGAGTTGAATCATGAGCAGAAATGGGTTCAAGCCAACCCAAAAAGATAAGAACATTAAGACAGGAAGGAAGGAAGGAAGGAAGGAAAGGAGGAAAGATGTGCAGGGCGGAAAAAACGGAGCATGGCGGCTGTAATGGTTAAAGCAGGAAGAGGGAATGACAGTTGGTCATGCTATTGTCTCTCTACCTGGCTCAGTATGATGTCGACTACACTTCCAATCACGACCAGAGCATCAAAGACGTTCCAGGCGTCCCCAACATAGCCCTGATTATGGCAGCATGCACAGCCAGCAGGCGGAGAGGGGAAGGCCGGAGAGGAGGGGGATGTGGGAAATATAGGAGGTTAAGAGGTTAGGGTGAGGAGTAAATGGAAGGGGACAATAAGGAGTAATATGGAGGAGGAGTCACAGGCTCGAGCGTGGCTCAGAGCCCAGGACAGGAAGAGTTTGAGGGTGGGGTTGAAAGTAAAGGGCAGGGCTTTCAGATAAAACCTCTCACTTGACCTTTTTACAGCTTCAAAATAAAGGGAGCTCTTACGAAAAAACTCTAAATAAGATGTTTTAAGAAACTAATGGAAGTTTGGCACATAATTGGATAGAAGAGATGAGATGAGAGGAAAGTAGACTTACTCTGGGTTTAAAGGCGATGAGTTTGAGGATCATCTCCACAGTGAAAACCCCTGTGAAGACCATGTTGAGGATGTCCATGGCATAGTTAAACAGATGAGACTGACCATGGTGCTGGAAAAAGACAGGCACACAAACTGATCAAAAATATAACAAAATATTTACTAATAATACAGGTAGTGCATTTCAAGAGTATCATGATATTTAAATTGACATACACTGTGTAAACGGTCTGCAATAATTATTGGGAAAAAAGGTTATGATATCTATTGCTACAAAAAAATCATTAACACATTTACACGGTTGACACTTAGGTATTTTAAGTATTAAAACGTAATATTAGTTACCTGAATGGCCAGACACAAGGTGTTGAGGATGATTAGGACAAACATGACGTACTCAAAGCCAGTAGAGTTGACCACATACCAGAACTTGTACTGGTAAGGGTTTTTGGGTATGTAGCGGCGCAGAGGACGAGCTTTAAGAGCATATTCCACGCACTGACGCTGCGGTGGTGACAGAGAAACAAACAAACAGACTCATGGTCAAGTGGAACTAAAGCAGAAATGTACCATTTCTAATATTCTCCATCTTTTAAAGAAGAAACATTTAAATGATGAAAAGAAGCACTATTATTTAGCCGGATCCATTTAGTTGAGATCATCTTTTTCCTACTACATTTAAAAGGTTTAATAAAGGCACCATTACAAAGAGTGACAGCTTCCTCTTACCTGGTTCTTATCGAGCTCACAGTTCTTGTACTCCTTCTCCCCTTGCTCCTGAAAGGTAACAATGACGAAACCGACAAAGATGTTCATCATGAAGAAGGCGATGATGATGATGTAGATGATGAAAAAGATGGAGATCTCGATGCGGTAGTTGTAGATCGGACCCATGTTCTCCTTGTGAGAGTCGATGGCCTTGTAGAGCAGACTGCAGGGACACAAAAGACAATGGACACTCCTTATCCATGGAAAAAAGCTGTTCTCTTAAAGATACTATATAATGTACTTCAAGCACATTCATACTCACAAAATAGGGAAATTAAAGACAATATTGACTTGGCTGTATTGTTTACATTTTTTATTTGGGTTTTTATGGATATTGTGGGTTCATTCAGGCAGACATAAAGGTGAAGGATTATTAAATAGTAACATTATAGTTATCTTGCCATTAGTTTTCTTATTCATAATCAAACCTACTTCATAAAGACAGAACTACTTACGTGGGCCATCCTTCGAAAGTGGAGACGGTGAAAAGAGCCATCATGGCCATGAGGACATTGTCAAAGTTGAAGTCGCTGTTGTACCAGATCCTCTCCTTCACCATGGGCAGCGCTGTGTCCCCGTTGTTGTAGATAATGTAGTTACCTCTGTCAAAAATGTAATATTAAAGCAACCACAAGTATGCACTGACGTAGACACAGTCATGTAGGTGAATGACCAAAGTTGGAAACCATTTAGAAAAAAACAACAACTCACTTGCATTCTTCTGGGCTGGACTTTGCATCATCGGCGCAACGATAAAATTTACCCTGGGAAAAAGGACAACAGAGAAAGTCGGTGTCTGTGGATTCCGTTGTTAACCTCGATCTCTCTTTCCATTGTTTGACTCTACCTTAAAGAGCTGCACTCCTATACAGGCGAACATGAATTGCAGCAGCGTGGTGACGATCATGATGTTGCCGATGGTCCTGATGGCCACAAACACACACTGGACCACGTGCTGCAAAGGACACACAGTTCTACACTGTTAGTAGGAATACAAAGCACTGTATCATCAGCTAAGATGCACACACACATACAGATACACACACTGGGGTTGTCACAATACCAGAAATGTAGTTGTTGATTGCGTAATACTAGTAGTAGCAGTAATCTAGTACCAGTGACATTCCAGGATTCCTGATACGAATTCATTACCACGTTAAAATCAAACAAAAAATACATCCCTTGCACTTCAACATACACTCCATTAATGTTCGCATACAAGCAGAAATAGCTCACAATTATCGCTCTAATATCTAATTTAGTTCGAATGCTGTTAACAGCATTCGAACTATCTGTTCTTCTACGCACACAATTCTTTATTATTCCGCCTGTTATTTTGGCCCTCTTCTTCTCCCACATTCCACATCGCAGAAACTCCGTTCAAACATCAAAACGTTCAGCTCGGTCGGGAATCGATGGCTATTGCTTTTCTCATTCATAACTTTCATAATTCCCGAAATATAGCCCATAATTCATCACATTTTTTACATTTTAACTTTAACATTGCGCAGTTCGTTAAGGCAGAGTGCGTGATGTCAGAGTTAGAGTGGAGGACAGTTTGAAATTTGCCTTCATATTTTTTTTTTAAACTGCCATAATTCCCAAACCCTACATTCCTGAGACATAATTTTTCATGACAAACGTAGGAAAACATCTCTTAGCTTTCAAAAATGACAAATAATTAAGCAAAAATAATTAAACAAAATGCCTCTTGAGGGCATGAAGTGACAAAAACTTTCAACATGTCTCCATTAAAGCCCATTGTAATTTCAGGCTGATATTTCCACACAGCAGCAGCCGCACACCTTTAGTTAATCTGCTAAAAAGGCCACATTATTGACCCGAAAGTACACAAAAAGCACACTTCAGATACTCAAGGTCCTTGAGATGCTTCACGCTTTGAAATTTCACCGATATCTGTTACGGTTCTTCCACAAAACGTTGACATGTAAGAGGTTTATCTCTCATTCAGAACAATGGAAACCTTTGATCTCTGGACACCTCGTTAGCTCAAATATAAACACCTGTGTCATGGAACACGATGATGTCATAACTCCAACTGACATGCTCAGAGCAGCAGACTTCAGATAATGGTTAATGGTCCTGCCCTCAACAGCTCTACGTCAATTATGGGGTGTCATCATATCCCTCGCCATAAAAGACGATGTCGCTTTACATTAACTCCTATGAAAATGTTCAAAAAGTGCTCAAACTTCACATGTGTGCTAACAGTCCAGCCGTGAAGACATCTACGTGAGGGTTTGGAGATTTCTTCAAATGCCGTTGCCATGGTAACACAAGGCTCGCCATGAAACACGGTTTTCTCATAACTTCAGTGAAAATGCTCCAAACGGGCCAAAACTTCACAGGTTTGGTAACGATGCAGCCATCCACACATCTAAGCTTATTATGGGGTGTAATCAAATGCCGTTGCCATGGCGACAGATCACTCGCCATGAAACACGATGTTGCTGTAAGTCCAATGGACACGGTCCGATCGTCCCCCAATCTTCACTTGTATATCACCGGTCCATGCCTCAACAGCTCTACGCCAAATCTGAGATCTCACCATATGCCGTTTCCATGGAAGCGCATCCCTCGCCATAAAAGACGATGTCGCTATAACTCCTATGAACATTTTCAAAAAGTGCTCAAACTTCACATGTGTGCTAACAGTCCAGCCGTGAAGACATCTACGGGACAGTTTTGAGATTTATTCAAATGCCGTTGCCATGGCAACACAATGCTCACTGTGAAACACGGTTTTCTCATAACTTCAGTGAAAATGCTCCAAACGGCCCACACCTTCACAGGTTTGGTAACGATGCAGCCATCAACGCATCGAAGCGTATTATGGGATGTCATCAAATGCCGTTGCATTTCGACAGATCATTCGCCAGCAAGTTAGTTCAAAAGTTTGCAGTTCAAATATTCTGCTGCCAAGCCTTTTTACTTTATTTTCTTCTCTCATCACACATTCAAGCCCCCAGTGTTCATGTATCATTTCAATCTAAATTCTTCACTTTCTTCTTACACATTACATTTCAGCATAGCAATTCAGCGTCAGCTTTTCAGCATAAAGCATTCCCACTAGCAATTTCTTCAGGAATTGCATTCTCTAGTTCATATTGCTGTTTATAACACCTCCACACCTCGAAGACTTCGGTAAACACATCATGACATATGTTGTAATTTTCTCACCCAATTCTCACTTTTATTGAATAGCGCTTTAGACCCCATTTACATGGGAACGTTTGCATTCACGCACCGAATTCGTTCTCATAAAAGTCTTCCGTTCACACGCATTCGGCTCATTTCACGTGTCCGAGACCACTGGAAACGCTGGAGTACATATGCCGGGCCTGTAAGTGGTGTAATAACTTCTGCCACAAAATACACCAAAAGCAGCGAAGAAGACCCCCGAGCATGGTTGCCCTTCTGTTCATGCCCCGCGGTGGATTTAGCAACATGTAGTTCATGTAATTCTCCATGTCCACTTGTTGCTGATGGTTGTGGTAGAGGAGCTGTAGATTTTGCACTAACATCTGTAGCATGGTCGAGCTGTAGATTTTGCACTAACATCTGTAGCATGGTCAGTAGCAGTAGCAGTAGCTACTGACCATGCTACAGCAGTGAGCAGCAGAGGTGGGGAGAGGTAGGGGGCTATGGCTTCATCGTTATCAGGAAATTATCAGGGCATACACACTGAGCCGTTTGGCCCCCCAGAGCGTTCCGGTTGCAGATCTATCCACCTTGGGACCCGTTATCGTTTGCGGGGTCCGTTTCCGCGGTTCCGTTACGGCCTCGTGTGAACGAACGGGCTATACGCAAGAGAAAAGTAGCAGATACAACCCGTTTCGTTCCCGTGTAAACACCGCCTTAATGCACCACAATGTTACTCTCCATTCACCAGCTGCTAAAAGCTGAAGTTAACGAGATCTAAAATTCCCATTTTAATACAAATGTGTTGTTCCCAATGTAAAATTATCAGGGGGAAAAATATGCATACCCTATATGCATTTATAGTAAGTTCCCTGCCCCCAAACACATTTTCTATTGTCCCATTATCGTTCCATTGGGCTTGGAATGTGTCTGTACTTCCAGGTACTACAGTTCCCATGGTTCCGTAAAAAAACGGGTACCATCATGTCTTCGAAATATTGGCATCTACCTGGTACGAAAGTGTGGGTTCTCGTGACACCCCTAACACACATTGTAGCGTGTTGTTATTTTCATTCTGACCTTTAGTCCCTTGGCTCTGTTGATGGCCCTGAGTGGACGAAGGACTCTCAAAACACGGAGAATCTTCACAACTGAGATAGCAGAGGACCTAAATGAGACAGAAAAAAACACCAGGGGATTCAGCTTAGTGATTTTAGGAAATGTTGACATTCCTTTCTGCTCTGCTACAAGCGGAACAAACAGCAACACATGTCATGGCAAACAATACCACACATTTGCTCAATGACATTTCAACATTTAAAATAGAATTTAAAGATACATACTGAATGCCGAAGGATACTAGAGACACGCCAACGACCAGCAGGTCTAAAAGGTTGAAGTAGTTTCTACAGAACGCCCCTTTGTGAAGAAAAGCTCCGAACGCTGTCATCTGGACAAGGAAGGAACAACAGTCAGGATTAAAGAGGACAACACACACACACCAAAGTGTACAAGGGGTGGCTTCAAGTCAGGCTGAAATGGGATTTGAATGACTGTTATTACTATATCAAGGACCTGTTATGTAAAAACTAATTACAGTGTGCATTTTCCAAAGAACATTTTGTGAGTGACTAAAAGGGGCTTTACTGAATTCTTTTTTTTTTCTTGTTGAATATTCCCTTGATTTTGCATTTCAAACATTAGTGTTTATGACAACAATAAGCAATATAATTTGATTAGCAGCTCATGATCCTGCATTTACATTGAGCTGTTAATCCATGTTATGTAATTAGGGCAAGCACACACATACACAGATTAGTACCTCTAATATTGTGTAGGTCCTTATAGGTTCGAGCAGTATGAATATATATTATATTTTTGGTTCATTATTTTACAATTTAAATAAAAATACATTTAAGTGTTTATTGATAAATAGATGGCAAGCTTGGATTCACATTTCCAAATACTAAAATCAGATGCGTGCTTTTGTAGTGCACACACATACACACACACACAAATAGAAAGACAATATACAACACATAATGTTCAGAGGAACATCATTTAAAAGCCACTGCACTCATTTCCGGTGCAGATTAAGCCTTCAATCCTTTCCTGATTGAACTTTAGGCTCAAGCCATAATACTTGAGATTTACCTGGTGCAGGCATGCAGCGAGCAAAGGGGCAGGGGATTTTAAATCTAACAGCAAACTTAATAAAAATTGTTCCTGATTTGGGATAGGATGTCTTTATTTGGACATTATTTGGTGGTGCATTAATAAATAAGATACATGGAAAAACGATCAGATGTGTGCATACAGTATGCAATCAGGCAGTTGGATATAAAGCTTGATGTTAGTTCAAGTTCGAGTTCATCTCTCCACAGTGCAGAATATTTCCAATTACATTCTAATTAAAAATCAAAAACAAGTTTGTTTTTCCAAAAAATTGTATAAACGTTATTATTAATCTTCAAAAAGTTTGAAAAAACTGTTATATTTGAGCCAAACAAATAGTTATACTCTGGAGAGCCACTGGTCCATAAACTGGTCGAGGATGAAGAGGGAAAGTGGGCCGTGATTGACAGTGACTGACAGACAAAGTAATATCTGACAAAACGTATGATCTCCACTTTAACCTATTGGCGCCATGACAACAAGACAAGCAGGAGGCCATTTTGCACAAAAATTATAGAGACAAAAATGAAGGGAGGGAGGACGTATGCGGCAAGCTTGGAAGTGGTGGGTTGTTGCTGAGTCAGCGCAACTATTTGTTATTGTTTACCTTAATAAGGATCTCAAATGTAAACATACTAGTGAAGACATAGTCTGCATAGCCTAGGATCTGAGGAGGCAATCAGAGTGACATAAGCACGCAGGGTTACTGAAGCTCTACTCAGTACAGCACAACACAGCACAAATCTCATTTACCTTCAACAGGATCTCAACAGTAAAGATTGCGGTGAAAGCATAGTCAAAATAACCAAGTATCTGCAAGAGGCAATGCACAAGTTCAAGTCATCAAGTAATTCCAAGACAGCACAATAACATTCAGTATTTATATCATTTAACACAGATGGACAAGGCAAGATTCTGATACAGTATTGTGTTGCAGTGATCTATATTGGTTAGTAGGGGAGAAAATAATTTGTTGTGGCTTTTTTAGAAAAAAATCCAAACAGGACAACTGTCTTACGTAACATGCACTGGTTAAAATCTCAACATAACAACATAATTGTGGGTTGCTATTGTGTATCTACTGAGGCAGGTGGTAAAATGTCAATGTTAATTGAGTGTAATTAGAAAAATCATGCTTTCCATTGGCCTTTTTCACAGCAGACATTTTTACATTTTCAATGATGGTGTCTTTATAAGATAAAGTACTTTTATCGGTCCAAAAAAAGCCATGATAGTATGACATAGTATGGCTGCAGTCCAATGGTAAAAAAGAAACCCTAATAATGACAAGGAACAGGACAACCCTGGTGTTTATACATAATGGCTGCACTTTGCTTGGCTACGTAATTATATGATGGTGGGTGTTATTGACGTTGGTCTGCATTCATTTTAAATGATGCTGCTGCAAAGAATTGTGGTTTGGCATTATCCCATTTCCTTTCTACGATGGTCCAGTGTAGCCTACGCTGAAGGACATTAGAAAGGAAGCATTGCAGCACCTTTCCTTGGCCTCTAGATAATCTCAACCAACTCTTATCAAGGCTTCCTGACCAAAAAATACTTTTCATGGCAACCATGGACCTTGAAATTGAAGCAGCAAAAGCGAACTCAGCAATCATGATTTTATTAATTATATCTTTGCTTTTTCTTCTGTCTCGTGTCAAAATATCTGCTGGGATAAAGGCTGATTATCAACTACCATTACATTGTTTAAAAGATGTGGGATAGCCTTATGGGACAGTTATTAACTAAAGTCCAGGTGGTTTTCTACGTACGGTATTGCGAGCAGAGAAGTTGCGAATGGGGTCCTCAGCAGCCAGAGAGACGGAGCTGAGCATGATGAAGACCAGGATGAGATTGGTGAAGATGTGATGGTTGATCAGTTTATGGCAGAAAACACGAAACCTACAGCAGAAAGTGAGGGTAACAACAAGGTTGGTTTAGTGACACATCTTACATTTGAGCTTCCTGCTTTAGAATACATCAGAGTAGTTTCTGTTATAAATATTTATCGCCGTGTGAGACTCACGGGTTAGTGCTGCTGAAGATGAAGAAAGCGCTTCCCGTTGGGATGGGCAGAGTCTTTTCTTTGATGGTGAGTTCAGACAGCCTCAGGGGGCGGGGCCCCAACGGGACTTCTGGAAGGTTTTCATTATCTTCTTCATCGCCACCTGCTGGGAAACAAAACTTATTTTAATCCCCCTGAACATGAAAACAATCCTTCAGTTATATATGTACTTTCACCGCGGATGATCATGGCAACTGGAAGAAACCACATGTGTATGCCATTCTAACATTTACCGCTTTAAACTCTTTACTCCCCGGTCAGCTGTTTTTAGAAGGCTGATACAATTCAGATAAATGCGCAGTTTTAATGTAATGTGTCTTTTTGATCAATATTTTCACTGTCAGTTCATTTTTGTTGCTTTTTCTCAGTTTCGATTGAAATTCTTTGATTTATTAAAACATTTGCTATTCATCGTCTGCCAATAATGTGAAGTATTATTATAATGTATCTTGCTGAATCTTGCAAATCCTATTTAATCACTAAGCTACAAATAAACACAATAAACTTGGATGGATTCATTTTAGATCCCAGTTTTACTAAAGACAAGTTAATTATACCTGGAGTGTTGATGGCAGGATACGTCTCCTTGTCCTCCTCCAGCAAAGCCTCTGCTGGCTCCTGCAGTTAGATTAAGCATTAAATAAATACAAAATGACTGAGATAAAAACTTGTTCAAAAAACAATTGTAGAGTAGAATTTACCTTGGTATCTCCATCCTTGATGTCTATTATAGCAACTCTCTTCTTGGCTATGCTTGCTTCTCTGTGAGAGACAGATCAAACAGAGTGACTAACCAGGCGAAAGGCCGTTTTCTCTGCCAATAGAAAGTTCTTACAACAAATGTGACAAAGATCTACACAAACAATAAAACATGAAATATTTCACTGTACTTGATGCTATTCTTCCTCTTCTTGGCCTCCTCTTCCTCCTTCTGTGCTGTATTGAGGCTCTCTGCGTCTGCCAGGTTATCAACAGCGATGGCCAAGAAAACATTCAGCAGGATGTCTGGAAATGTGACTTAAAGAGGAAACACTGACCAACAATTAAAGACGCATCTGGGATTAAGGAACATGGAACAATCAACTACCAAACAAGTGTTAGCGTTTGTAGGATACAGTTTCCGCAGATGAAGAGAATGATGAAGTAAATGCAGACCACCATTCCAGAAGAGGCGTGTCCACCGTACGCCATGATGCCGTCATACATCACTGTATTCCAGTCTTCTCCTGTCAAGATCTGGCAAACATGATATGCAGTTAAAACCATTTCAATCATTTATTCTAATACCCAGTGAAGAAACTGTCCACCATGATGCAAACATGAACTCACATGGAGAACGACTAAGAGACTAAGGATTGAGACTGAGAAAGCGTGCCGAGGGAGAGAAACCTCAGACGCTGTGAGCGGATGTTACAATTTGCCAACACTCACCTGGAACACAGTGAGCAGGGCCTGGGGGAAGTTATCAAACGTGCTCCTTTTGGTCACAGTCTCGTCAAAATTGAACCTTCCCCCAAATAGCTGCATGCCGAGCAGGGAGAAAATAATGATGAAGAGAAAGAGCAGCAGCAACAGGGAGGCGATGGACTTCATGGAGTTTAGCAGAGACGCCACCAGGTTACTGAGAGACGCCCAATGACTGGAGAAGAAGAAATATATGAGTTAACGAAGGACAGACACACACACACACAAACTGAAACGAATCAGCTGAATGTGCAAAGTTTCTCTGTGCTCATTTGAAATCAGTTTTTGAGGGGTGAGACTACAAGCAAGACTTTTGACATCACAACAAGTGTGGAAGTCAATCCTGGTCCAATTTGCAACCTTTACAAATGAGTATCCCTGTTGATATCAGAGGAAAGACCGATAAGTTCTGCTTACCGTGTGACTTTAAAGATCCTTAGAAGTCGTACGCAACGGAATACAGAGATGCCCAGCGGAGACATGACGGCCAGCTCCACCAGGATGGTCTCTACGATGCCTCCGCACACCACGAAACAGTCAAAGCGGTTAAATAGGGACACAAAGTATGCCTGCAAGCCCAAACTGTACATCTTCACCAGCATCTCCAACGTGAACATCGCCAGGAGAACTTTGTTGGCTACATCTAAGGAGAAGGGGATACAATTATCAAACATCTTGTAGTTCAGCCAAGTTTTTAAAAGAACTGACCTGAATACATGTTCTACAACCAAAAAGAACAGAAAATATCAAAAATGAAGATACCCTGTACTTCCGTCAGCCAGTCTGGCTGGTTGTAGTGCTCAGAGGCGATGGTGAGAGTGTTGAGGAACACCAAGAGGATCACCAGCCAATAAAACGTCACAGATTTCACGGCTGTTCGACTCTTTCTGCGGCAGAAACGGTTCCACCGCCTCCACTGACGACTGACAGAAAGATATTACAACTTTAAAATTAATGGTCAGAATACTTGGGTCCATTTTCAGAAGAGTTAGGTTTAGAAATAAGACCAATAAGTCTAATAAGAATTTCCTTGAATTTCACATATTTTGGAATCAACTCTTCTGGCTTTGGACTTAACATATGTATATATATTTGATAATTACATGTTTCTTAAATATACAGTTAGATGTGGTGAAATAACATGGAAGCACAGTTTTACAATTAGTAAAAGAGGAAAAAAGCTGTTTACGTAAAGGTCTTGGATGGATTGAAGTTAAGTAAAGGGGGAAAACAAAAGGAAACTGTAGTGAGATCAGAAATTACAGTGATGGGTTAGATATATGATATGAATCGCAAAATATTAGATCAAAACATTGAGGATTGGAACAATTAAAACACGAGGTAAGAATGACCCATGCAGGATGAGTTGAATTGATTGAATGAAGAATGCATATGCCATGCACTCTCATACAGTACCAGGGTACTAACCTGAACTTTGACTTAGATATTTTTTGACTGGGGGGAATACAAATTACGCAGATTTAAATTAAGGTCAACAAAATGTGCATTTGTGTTTAAACACACATATTAATGTACAACAGCCTCTGGGTCTATTGCCTGTACAATACTCTCTTATTGCCCCAATATGTCACACTCACCACAGCGGCCCACAGCAGGGCGATTTTTTATCCTCTCCATTGTGATTCTCCGTGTTCGCCGACTCTGTCTCACTGGGCATGCTCGCTGTGGTTTCATACACACAAACACAGGAAATCAACGTGAGATGATAAGGTGTCAAGTTAGCAAAAGATCAAAGTAAATGGTGTCCTGAAGGTACATGTTGCCCATTAAATTCGCATTGTACTAGCTTTTTCTATTGCAACACATGCATTTTTGTCTTGGCTTGGTTTCATATTAAAACAATTTATCTTATCAGCTGACAGTAAACCAACAGTTCTTGTGGCCTTCACTATACAATGAAGTCATATGTTTAAAATCCTCTCCAATTTGTACTTTTCCACTTGAAGGTATGTCAAAGGACATTTCTTTCATGTTTTACAAAGTTTCCAAACCCTGGAAAACCGACTTAATGCATGTGTAAATAGAAATTGCGCCTCTCAAAGTTTGACATTGATCAAAGGAAATTATTATTTTCCTTAATAAGAGTTTGTTTTAGTTCTCAAAGAATGAGACTGACAGTCACTAAAAAAATATAGCATTTTCTAAGGTTTCTGCATAAACAGTGAGTGAGTACATAATGCCAGACCTGAGTCAAATTTGACTTTTTAAATCATTCATGTATTTAAAAAACAAACACAGATTACATAAATACATTTAAGATGTACATGCATAAAAAGTTGTTTTTATAAATGACAAATTAAATGAAGTTGACGATGATTGGATGAGAGATCTGTAAAAAAAGACTTACCTCTCACTCATAATGTAGTAAATATAGTCACCAGATTAAATGAAAACATTGTTATGCATTTTTTTAAACATCAAGATGTGTCAGGATGAAATATTCAAACTCATACTAAAATAAAATGTTGATGGATGAAGAGTTAAAGAAGTAAGGAACAGGCTTGAAACATGTTCATCCAATTGGACATTTGATTTAAAATCAATTAGTAATTATTAGCGTATGAGTTCTTGAGTTATGGACAAAACGCCTTGGTGAGGTCACATTGACCTCGAACTTCAACTGACAAAATCTAATCATGTCATCCTTGAGTCCATGTCGATATTTTAGTCGAATTAGAAATAAATCCTGGCAGGGAAATTAATATATTGCAAAAGGTACAAACAGACAACTCGAAAACCGCCTACAGCTATGGCAGGTGTGTTAGCAAAAAACAGATTAGATACTATCTTTAAACACTTTGAGGGTGCTACTGTGTCCTTACAATGCTAAATATTAACTTATATTCAAAATAATTGGTACTGTCTCTTGTGTTAGAGTGTTACCTATAACCTTTCTGTTATTGTTCCTTATATAGAAGGCCACTTTCCCATAATCTGCTTCTCGGTCACTTCTCTCTGATTCATTTCACTATAAAGGCTTTATTTACTCCTGGCGGGCAACATAATGCAAAGTCTAAAGGGGTTCATTGCTAATGGATGATCAGGTCCATGTTTTCCGATGAAATTGATTTTTTTTATAATGAGGATGCAGAGGATCAGATTTTGATAAATGAAACTAAGGGCATGCAAACACAAAAGCACAAGCAAAGCACGTGCAAGCGGAGGAGCCCTCCAGGACCAAGATGAACTGTCCTCATGAACATGCTAAAACCAACACACACTCCCGCACAGTTCCACACACTCCCACACACTAACGCATTTACCCTGTGTCTCTGTGGACTGGGTGAACCAGCCAAACTTCCCTTTCTTCTTCTGTGTGAGGTCAGCCAGCGTGACCCCTTGGTGTTACCAACATGCAGTTCACACAGCCAGACAGCAGAGGAAGCAGTGAGTCAGTACACAGCAGAACAAGAGAGAGAGGAATGTACGGCAAAACAGCTACAGTACTACATTACTACAGTACAGACACAGGTACCATGTCCAGAATAGCTACAGGTGTAAAGAACATACAGTATTATTGTCTAATGATAAAAGACAAACTGCAGAATCTGAGCATGGAATATATTTTGCTACTACAGTTAAGGATTTATTTCTAGCAGAAAGGGGTTCGGCACAAACAAGCAAAGAGAAAGGAAAACATATCTACCTACTGAAGTGAAAAAGTAGTAATTAGTAATAATATGTATATTATTATGTCAGCTGACAGAGAATGAATGCAGTACAGACATTTAAATGATGTGTGTGAGGTAGTTTGGAGAGTTTGAGGTAGTTTGAGAGTGTTAAAATGCCCTACTCAATACATACAGTATATCTCGGTACTAATTATATACAAATATTAACCAAACTAAATTCTCAAACATTTCTCATTAAGCATTTTAAGTTAAAAGTATTCTGGACATAGTAACCAATACCACATTATTAGACTGGAAATAATTAGCAATTAAGGAGGAGAAGATAGAAAGCAGAGACTTTTGGTAACAAGAGAAGAAGATATGAAGAAACAATAGGAAGAGAAAGGGCAGAGAGGGGAGAAAACTAATGTTAGCAGCAATCTACAGACAGTTAATTACAAGGCACACAGTCACTGCAGGGATCAAGAAGAAAGAGTTAGTTTGTTTTGTCGGGTCTAAAGTCTACAACAGCAGCAGAGGTAAAAGCAGGGTGATAACTGGAAGATATCAAAAACTGACAACACATTCACCACTGTGAATGGTTTAAAGGCACTGTAGCAGTATGTCAAACGGTTGCGCACATAACCTAAAATGCAACTCGACTGTCGATAATTGACACTGCCTGACGCCATGCTAGTTGCAGAAAATGTAGCCTTAAACTGATAGCCTAAAGAATCTCTTGAAATGCTTCATGCAACCACCCACCCTGAACGTTTACTGTCATTCAAGCAAACAGTCTGCAGCCACTTCCTGTTTACTGTTCCAGTAAAATCACAAACGTGAACGTCTTCTAGATATTTGAATACTGTTCAAGCCTCCTGCATATCACAATAAGCAATATGTTTTTGTACATACACAAGACCAAACATCCACAGTTACCCCTGTGTTGTCATGACGACCACACACACAAGACCGCACCATAGAAAAGACTGAACATCAAAGCAATGCTGGCGCCCACTTTCTTAGTGCTACCTCAGAAGCTGCTTCCACGGCTCGAGTCACAGTTTTCACTTGTTAACACCTCTGTTGTGCCACAAAACAGTGAGAGAGTGGAGGGGCAGTATTTTACTAAAAGCCCCTTATTATATCCAATAAAAATATTACTGATATAGAGATGATCACGAGCATCTTCATGTGTAATACATTGATTTTATTTGTATGTAAACTATACACTGTGCCACTGCAACACATTCAAGAGATGTAAGCAAAATAAGACACACAATGACCAAAAAATGGCGGCCTTGTAAAATAAGAGACAAAATGCTAAGTCATATAATGGTTTTGTTGAAAATGCATTCTATACTAAATGTAATCCGTATTTTTGGATGCATACTGCTTGAATTGAAATGAACTGTAATTTTCCGGTGGTATGATTCACTCTTGTAGAATAGACCTGGTATACCAAACTACCAAGGGGATGCCTGGATAAAGATTTTATCGAATGCATTTTTTAAGGTGACATTTGCATGTTATCCACAACCAGCAATATGTGATACTGTCCCTACAGTATGTACTGATTAGAGACCTGTCCTTTTCTAAGGGTAACCTGTCGGTCTGTACGTTTTAGGTGGTCACACTCACATTCTAAAAAGAGTCGGTTACCATCTGTTTGTGGGAAAAAGTAATGCATTATTAGCTGAGCCAGGGCAGTGTGTCAGATGCATACAACATTTTCTTTATGACATTCAATGAGCTTTTCAGAGTGGCATAACAACAGATGGATGAGTAATGGTTTGCCCTGCTCATCTGCCTCCTTTCACTATCAATGAGACCAAGAGATGTGCAACATTATTTAAATTTGAGAAAATTATAATGGTTGGTAACTCTGTTTGCAATCCTTATTTCACAGCTTTAAACACGTAGAGAGGGACAACATTTATTAAATCCAGGAAACTCACGGTTACGCTTGCCCTCCTCGTCTCCCTCCTCATCGTTCTCGGGGTCGATGTCCTCTGCCTGCGTGATCCAGTCCAGGTATCCTTTCAGGTCTTCCTCTAACTGCTGCTTCTCTCGTAGCTTCTGGAAATCTCCCCGAGCCTTGGCCTTCTCTCGCTCTTTGGAAAACTCTCTGGAAAGGGCAGAGTGGAATGACTGTCAGCTTTCAGATAACACTTTTACATGAAACACCAAACAATCTACTTTCTAACCCTGTAATGACATTCCTTATATTTGGGAGATTTTGAAAATGTCTGAAAATGTTCTTAGTGTTTGAAGTATTTTGGTTGAGAAATAAAGGACAACATCATGTCTACATACCCACTCAACACTCCCAAAACCAAGTTGAGAACAAAGAAGGATCCAAAGATGACCAGACTGACAAAGTAGACCCACGGCAGCTCGAAGCCCATTGCGTCATTCATCTGAATAGAAATACAAATTCTGAAATATTGGACATGGTTCATTGATATTTCATGGACATATTAAACCATTCTATTGTTTTAATGCCATAATCACATACAATTCCTTCCTGTGGCATAAAACGTGTCGTGAAGTGGTGCACGGCTTCCCTCTAGTAAACCTAGAAAACTATTATCTGACAATTCCAGGAGAAAAATTGACTTTTCCAAGACCAGGGTAACTGAGTAAGTTATATAATTATATTACATGTTTGCTTTGACATCTAGTTCATTTTCATCTGTTTTAAATATGAATGACTGGTTGTTTGTTGTGTTGCACAATAAAAAAAGAATCATGAAATGACTAAGGACTTTCTAATGGGTTGGGTTTAGGTTGTGTGTCTGTAACCTTTTACAGCTTCTGCCAGTAAAAACCACATTTACCACATATACTCGCATGCACTTTATAAACTACGCTATTCAGTTTTATACACCCATACCAATATTTAGAGCTTTTGAATATTGTGTTTACATTTTTTTTCCGAGCACAGCCACAAAAAAAGGGTCAATTTAAGAATGTAAGTAATCTCATGTACCGTCAATAGTGTTTGTGTGTACTGTAGGTTATTGTGTCATTTGTGGAGTGCGGCCCATATAACTTAGCTCAAAGGTTCCAATAATTTAGTACTGGATGTAACAGTAGATACAATGTGATACATTTCCTTCAAATGAAAATAACCTTCAGTGAGCTACAACTAGAACAGGAAATGTGACCACTAGAGGGCAACATGTAAGAGAAAACTTGGTTAGTAATGAGTGGATGAGGTATTAGCAGATGTGATATCTGTGATGAGACAGTGGCAAATACTATAGTGCTAAAGTGTATTTTAATAGAGCTGGGAACAAGTTGATAACTGATGATTGACTATTTAAACCCAATTTCTAACATTCCTTAACCTCAACCCTATGCTTTTCTACGCCCTGTCTACATGCATGCAGTTCTACTCTAGCTCTTGTATTCCTTTTGAAAGAAATCCCTACACAAGCTGGCTTTGCAGAGAAGTCACAATGCATCGACTCTGCAGCTATGTTTAATTTGTTTCAGTAGGAAAGGTCAGAGGTGAGATTGAATCTATCTATCCTTCGCTATCCTTCTATCTATCCTTCTTTAAGGTTTGTCGAGAGTCCATCCTGCACTTCATCAGCAGTAATAGCATGGGATTGCCATGGTAACACATGTACAAGAGAAGTAAAGAGTCTGTGAGGAAGAAAGAGGACGGCCGAGAAGGAGGCAGAGAGGTTCATTATTCCATCCATGAGGGTCTCCATCAATAAAAGGATGTGGGTGGATTTAGATGAAAACTCACTCTGAATTGAGCTTCAGTGCTCAGTGTTTTGGATAATTAAAAGCTGTTGGTGATCATTGTTAATGAGGCTGTGGGTTTTGAAGTGAGGCTGGCCTCTTTTGGTTTTAAAATACTTGTTATTAACTCAAAGATTGGTAATGGTTCAGCCTACCGCTCTCAATGAGAACTACTTTGTTAAAAAAAAAAATGGACAACTGACATTTATAAACCAAAAACATGGTGCCCGTGTGAGGCATATTTGCAGAGCGGCAGATTACCCAGTAGAGAACGTCGGTCCAGCCCTCCATGGTGATGCACTGGAACACAGTGAGCATGGCGAACAAAAAGTTGTCGAAGTTTGTGATACCGTTGTTGGGTCCTTGCCAGCCCTCTCTGCAAAATGTACCATTGAGCAAACAGTGGCGGCCATGACCAGACACCGCACATGGCGTGGCCTCCTCTTCCGCGAGGACACCTGGGGGATCAGAGTTATACAGATGAATCTACTAACAAAAAGCGAAAAAATAATCAAAACCATTGACATTAATATTCCCATGGTCTGAAACACTTCACAGGCCTCTGCACTGATACCTTTCGTTTAAAACGTTCTCTGTTTTTAAATCTTAAAAACCCTTTTAACTGATTTTATTTTGTACCAAAAGCCTTTTGTTACATACATTACATTACAGCACTGCCATTATAAAACTGGCCCTAATTATACTAATGTATAATCTTCCTCTATACTGGTTATCATACGTTGTCTTGCCAACCAGCAATTTTTCTTTCCTAGGATGTGTAATCATTTCTCATAATCTCTCTTTTTTGATAAGTGCATTTTCCTTTGAATTATCTTGAAAAAGCTCCAGAAATGATTACCTTCATTTTTTTTAAATAATTCATGTATAAAGAGATTTTCATTAAGCTTATCATCAAACATATGTCCATATACTCTATATAAAAAAGATCAAAGCACATCAAAGTGAGGGTCCATTAGGTGAAAGGTGTGTGGAAAGATGTGTACAAAATGCTGTCATATTGCTATATTTTCCACCAATCTGTTATTTAAGCTTCTGTCTTGCAGCCATCATGCACTATGACTGGCTGTATGCATGTGTGTGAATGTAAAGTATAGGTCTACATGCTTCAATCAATTTCTCCTTGCTTCTTGAATATTTCTGCCATGTTGAAAGCAATGCTGGAGCAGAGGGCAAGCCTGTTTACATAATAGCCATATATTAGTCATTTAATCACTGGATTTAATCCCCCATCTGTTGTTATGCCCTGTTTTCTGTAGCTTGCAGTGTTTCCCACAGATCTGAAATATACTTGGGGGGGTGGTGGTAGCGGGGGGGGGGGGGGGGGGGGGGGGGGGGGGGGGGGGGTTGAGGTGACGTGCAACAACATTAACATTAACCTTTCTGTTGGTCGCTTGAGACTAGATCTATGGAAACACCTATATTAAACAGAACTGTATACATTTCAATAATCATAAAATCATGGCCATAACCAATAACATACCATTTCCAATATGAAAAAAACACTGAAACTTGTTTATTAATTAATTGTTTTAGTTCATTTATAGTTGGGAGTGTGTCTGTGCTCCTGAATCAGCCTCTCCTGTCTCCCTCCTCTCCATCCTCTCCCCCTGCTCCTCTTTGAGGCAGCAGCAAAGACTAGTTTTCTCTCAACAAGTTTTAAAAGTGTATCTTACCTTTTTTCACCTAGTTAACTTTTTATTTATTTATTCATGCATATTTTACTAATCACATTACATTTCATTTAGCTGACGCTTTTATCCAAAGCGACTTATAATGACCGATTACAGGGACATTCTCCCTGCGAGTAACTAAGGGCTAAGTGCCTTACTCAAGGGCACACTAGTGGTGGTGTTCCTGGCGGGATTTGAACTCACAGCCTTCCGATCTTCAGCCCACCTCACTATCCATTAGACCAGGGGTGGGGAACCTCCGGCCCCCGGCCGTATACGGCCCGCGAGACCATTTGGTACGGCCCTCGAGGTAATTTATAAACACACGCAAAAAAGAAAAAAATGAAAGAAATCTAGACCGCAAAAAAATTAAACAAGCGAGTGCCTGTTTTTCCTGGCCAAGGTCAGGGTCCTTGAACACAACACGAGCCTAACGTGTCATCACGTGGTATATGTCTCGTCTGACAGGGGTGTAGTTCTGACGGAGAGCACCAGAACGCCGCTCCGGCACTTCCAAAAATTGCAGTAGCCTACCATAGACTGTATATAAAGTAGCCGTACACATGCCGCAGTTTTTGCGTGTCTGTGTCTTTAGTTGAAAGCCCAGTGGCGATCTGTTCATGACTGTCATACTGATCATACAGTCAATAACTTTGTTGTTATTAGCATCTGGTTAGCTAGCTATGCTAACGAATATAAGAAGCTTTTTCTACAACCAGTGAGGTAAAGGCACATCTTTATATGATCATTATTATAAAAAAATAAGATAATAAAGTAAACAGGTATAAAATACTATATGACAGTAAAAAAAAGTTGTTATTAATAAACAAGAATACAGTTTGAAAGGTGAGTGATTTGTAAAATGTCCATAAAGAAAAAGTAAATCTGTTTACAGTTCTGTTTCATATGGGTGTTGAGAGATGGATCCATAGAGCTCCTAATTTTGCTCTCAAAGTGCACCAGATTGATGCTTTTAACTTCAACATTTAAAAAAAAATCTTCCCGGGGGAGCATACCCCCCCGAACCCCCCTAGAGGAGGTTAGGTCCCCCCCCCCCCCCACTTAAATCATGTCCACATGGTTCGGAGTCTAAATACATTTGCACACATCTTGTGTCCATATCTTTCTGTTTTGGTGTTCATACCACAACCGTGCACGTGCATGCATCATCATGGTAAAATATCTGGATTAAGAGGTTGCTTTTTCTTTGCACAGCATGAAAGAAAGGCCAAATGAATGGGCTGTGATTTTAGTTTTTTTAAGCAGAGGTCAATCATTTGTACGGCCCTCGGAGGATGTTGAAAAAATTGAAATGGCCCTTGAGAGGAAAAAGGTTCCCCACCCCTGCATTAGACCAATCACTACCCTCTCAAATGGAAATATGTGTTTACATAAATGGTGACCACACCGTTTGAGACCCACTGAGAACTTAGACTAAGTTAACTATCTAAACACTCAGAGAGTCCTTTACCTCACCTGAGCTGAGGTTATCCCGAGCTTGAATGACACACAGAGACCAATCAAGGGCTTTGATTTATGATCTGTATGACAGTGGCCATGTCGGCAGGCCACATCATGTGGACAGCCAGTCACCCTGTGTGAGGCAGGCCACTTAACAGGCCAGAAGGAGGCGAGATCAGAGCAAGGGAGCGAGGGATCATTGTCCACAAGTTAATCGATCGCAGATGGCGTCGTGCTCACGGACGAATACAAAAAAAATTATTAAAAAAAAAAAAAACCTAAATGGGTCGCGAAATATACTTGGGCGGCCGTTAATATACCTGGGCGGCCCGCCCAAGTATAGTCTATGTGTGGGAAACCCTGGCTTGCCACCATTGAAATACAAGGTACATGTGTCAGGGATTAAAACCTGCATCCATCCTAAAATGACATACGCCTGCTCATACTGCGGGATGTATGTGGGATTTTAAAAGGGTTTAAAAGGTGAAAAAGGGCAAGTCTCATTGCTAAAACCCATATTAAATTAAACCAAAAATGTAACAACACTCATTGAAACCATACCTGTTTGTCTCATGTAGCATGTGGCGTGCATTTTGCCAATGAAGAGCTCCAGTCCAATGATGGCATAGATGATAATGACAAAGAGGACCAGCAGAGCGATGTGGAGCAGGGGAACCATGGCTTTAATAATGGAGTTTAAAACGACCTGTAAACCTGCAAACACACAGAGGCAAGGGTCAAACAGACAGAAATATCCATACTGTAAACCAGTGGTGAACCGTCAGGGCCTTCAAGGTATTCAGAGAATACACTGGAACACTCAAGCATTTGGTAAACTGAACTAACATCAGCTTTTGTTTTAATTATTAGGTCAACTGCCTTTCATACATGAATAACTTTCATTACTGATGAATTATTTTCTCAATTCAATCATATAAAGAAACAATAAGCACAGAAAATCTATCAGACTCATACAGAACCCCTGCAATCTTTGGGTTGTTGTAATGGCCTGGTGTATTTCTCTCAAAGCCTCTGATAGGACTGAATAGGAATAGAAGCCAACCCTCGGTGGCATCAGCAAACAAGCCCAAATATCACCGTTTAATTAAACTGCACATACCATCCGACAAAGACAAATGTTAAACGAGAATAGAACTGAAAATGTCGTCTCAGCTCATCTTTCCCAGAGGTCCCGTCTGCCCAGAGACTGGGAGATGATGCATCGCTATGGCAACTCAAAGAATACAGACACATTAGGGCAACTTCATGTAAGGTCAGACAAGAACAGAAACAGTGAAGGAGGCAGTGTCTCCTGGATAATTATGGGATTGGACTAAGCAGATGGAAATATATATAATATTTAGGTTGTATAAAACCTCCCTCACACTAACATTTCATGCACAGGTGTATTTTCAACTTTTGTCGTCTGATTAGACTCTTTCTAAACACTGTGTGGTGTGTACACACTGCTCGATTGACAGCTGTTTCTCACTCACCTGTTAGCTGTATTGCGCCTTTATTTACACTGTTATTGTTGTTGTTGTTGTTGTTGTTGTTTCCTAGAGTTTGGTGACCTTTGGGTGCTTTTCATTATGTTTGCGTGTTTCCCTGCTTTCTTCAACAACAAAGGTTCTCTTGTCCTTGTCAGCTTTAGGTGAGAGTTACATTTAATATGCTGCTCAGCTGTGTGTCACATGCATAGACTGTATATAAATCAACATGGTGTCCCTGACGTCACACATAGGATTCTGGTGAGTTGCTGTGAAACCCGAATTAGGCTTGGCAGCGACTTGGTTGTCTAACTACTGCCTGCTCCCACCACTCTGCGAGCTAGCTGAGGCTTACAAGCTAGGCTAACATGCTCATTAGCGCAGCCCTTTGTTGCTAGCTGGCTAACCCACCATCTATTTCTCCAGGTTTATAAAACATATTAATTGACAAAAGAACACTACCTACACTAGCTCTAGTATGTTTTGAGGAGATTATTTATTGTGTTCCTACTTAATGCTCCTGCTTTTCCTGCTCCAGGATTCCTGTCTGTTTGTCTGCCATTCTGCCTTCTGGCCAACAACCTTCTCCATTCCTCGTCTGTTGTCTTCAGTCATCCTTACTTTTTAATCAATTTCCATCTGCAGGGGCTACTCAGGTAAACTTCACCTGCCTGTTTGTCTGTGTTCAGCGACTGGATCCACTTTTAAACCAACCTGACATTTAGGTTTGTGTGCCTGACTCCACCCATTGTCACCCTGATTAAAAGCCTTAGAAGGTTGTGCAGGGCTTAAAAGGGGAAAATACGTGCTTTAAACCAAGAAACAGCTCCATGTGAACTCACTAGGAACTCCAGAGACAAGGCGGAGGGGTCGTAGCACGCGAAAGGCTCGGAGGGCCTTGACATCAAAGCCCCCGGGTTTTCCTCCAGATTGGCCACCCGAGTCAGCGTCTTTGGTTATCATCTCTAGAACCACACTGAACAACCTGATGGAGAGAAGAGAAGCAAAGGGGGAGAGATGAAAACAGAAAACAAAGCCATGTGTCCTCTGTGTACCTGCTTCTGGGTGTGTGAGCAAGTGTATGACATGCTTTATGTGTGTTTACCTATAGCTTTTCACCGCTCATCACAGTTTACATTGAAGTCCTATGGGGCCAGGTGGTCCACTGATAACCCATCACTCTAAACAAGGCTGTGTGTGTGTGTGTGTGTGTGTGTGTGTGTGTGTGTGTGTGTGTGTGTGTGTGTGTGTTTGCCGAAACATTACTGCCAGCTTTTTACTGGACATTATAAGGATCAGCTGTGAGTCAGGCAAATAGCGGAGGGAATTTTAAGATCATTTTATTATTGATTAATCTGCCAATTCATTTCTAGATTAATGGATGAATTGTTTGGTATATCAAATGTCAGGAAATAGAGGAAAATGTCCATCCCAGTTTCTTAAAGTCCAAAATAATGTCTGTTTTCTCAGTCCAAAACCCAAAATATTCAGTTTGAAAGGATATAAAAAGAAGATAACAGGAAGTCTCGTATTTGAGAGGCTGAAAACAGCATTTTCTGACCATGTTTGCATGAGAAATTGCTAAATAAAATATGTAATTAATATTTTCTGTTAAAACACCGGACTAATCGTTGCAGCTGTAATGCTTTTGCAATTCATGAGTGATTATGGGTCTAGGTACAACAGGGAACAGGATAAGCCATGGTGTGTATTGCTTCAGTTTGTAAGAAACAATGTGAGTGTGTGTGTTTATATCTTTGACCCTGGGTGTCTACACGTACATTTTATGCTCTACCTATGAACTTACCCCACTATGACGATGACAAAGTCCAGCATGTTCCAGCCGTTTCTGACGTAGGAGTTTTGGTGCATGACCAGGCCGTAGGCAATAATCTTCAGAAATGTCTCTATAGTGAAAATGATCAGGAAGGCATATTCTACTGTTTCCTGTGTAGAGAGGACAAGAGGAGAAAGCACAAGACAGAGAAAATGTTAGTCATCTAACTTTTCTAACTTTGCAAAAGCACTTCACTGTCGGCCGAATAATGTGCGTGGGGGCTGCAAAAACAAGAGGCAATGAGGCCAACAGGTATGAGGCACAACAACAAAGAAAACATTTTCCCTGGTTACAACAACAGTTGGCTTGGCAACCTGTTTCATTTTTTTGTAAAAGCAATTAGAAAGGTATCTTTGACTTGACTTTGATCAGATTCACAGCTTCCTGCTGACTTACAGTAAGATCATTCCTTTTATTTATGATAGCACAGTCACACTTTGCTGCAAAACCCACAGTTTTTAAGTGGTAATCGCACAGTTTTTCAATAGGCGCGTTCACACCAGAGTACTTTTCCCCGTACTTTTCCCGTTTAGTTCCGTTAGTACCCCTTATGTCGCGTTCACACCAAAAAGAGTACTTAGTGCCGGGAACTTTTACCCCCATTTTTAGTGCCTGCTAGAGAGGTGGTACCAAAAAAGTACCAATTTCTATTGGCTGGGCGAATTGCAAACCACGCCCCGTAAAACTCTGAAAAGTTTTTTGAAGCTGCCATTGTATTTGCTGGCATTAGCATTATTAGCATTAGCATTAGCCCCGCGCACCAACGGAGAGAGAATAACTTATGGTAACACAAAAGAAAACATGGGAGCGGTGGAGATGAGGAGGTGTTGGCGTTCTGGCGATTTACTCGGAAGGCTTCAGTAGAAGCTGCTGGGACTCCCAGCTGCTTCTACTGAAGCCAGTCTCCAACTCCAGGGACTTCCGGCCGGGGACTTCGGGTGGCAGTATACGCCGTGAAGTAGTTTGCGGCCTACCAGTAAACCCAAAGCAGAAGAAGACGAAGTGACGTCAGCGGCTCATTTGCGTAATCTTCCCTCAGGGAAAAGTACTCCGGTGTGAACGCGATTGGTATTTAGTGCCCTGGGGTACTAAGTGGCGGCATTAAGTACGGCAAAGTACTTGGTGTGAAAGCGGCTACTGATCCTAGGTCATAAAAAAGTATCATCATCATTTTATTCTTCAAGAAATGTCCATTCCTGATAAAACGTCCTTTTTTTTTTGGCAAGTTTCATGGTCATACTGTAGCGTTCACAGAAAAAACATTTTGTAAGATAAAACGCATACAAATATATTTTGTGTGTCCAAGGTTTTCATCCAGCAGCAGCAATGTGAAACATGTCAAACGCTGGCCTTTTATCGAGGGTTGTGATGAGAATACCTGCATAAAATACCAGTGTTTGCGCGTAACACCACTTTGTGATGCATTCCCTGTGACCACCTCTGACACAGCACAGTAAAGAAAAGGTTCAAAGTGAATCATTTTTTATTAGTAGTTTAGAAGCAATGGCCACTTAAATCCAAACAAATATGTATTTCATGGCCAATAAAGCACAAGAACATCCTACTGAATGTCCTGCTACATCATCAGCATGTTTCCATGGTAACACAGTGTCTGGTAATGGAAACTGGACCCTGGATTGGGAAATTTGCACACACATTTATTTATTGAGCGTACACCGTACACATTATTCCACTTTCTCACCTCCACTTTCTTTCTCTCTCTCAGAAACACCTTAATCTCTCCTACATATCATTTGTATCTCTCTCTCTTTCTCTCCCACACAAACTCCCTCTCTCCCTCTCTTTGTTTGTCTCTCTCTCTCTCTGGCTCCGTCAATGCAAAATGTTAGTGAGTCGGCAGGTTTTAGAGCCCATTAAGCGCAGCACTCCTCTTGTTGATTTAAAGGACACAAACACAAGACGCACACAGAGAGCACGCACAAAGACCCACACAGACACACTTGTGCCCACTGAGAGACACTGACGACAACAGTAACACTCAGATGTTACACCGACACACAAAAGAGACCTGCAGTTGTACACACTCTTCTGAAAGGCAGCCAGACAACCAGACAGACACTTTCACACAGGGATTATAAACACTCCGGGCAATTGCAATTTAGCCACAGTTAGCAGCAACCATTGTTAAAACACCAAATCTACCACCAGATTGTTTGCATTTACTGTATATATTATTGAAATACTGATTATATCGCATTGCATGCAGTCAAATTTAAACTTTAGAATTTTTTTTCAGGTAGCTATTGTTTCCATTTATTTCCGGAAACTATCAATTTGCTCTTTAAACTTGCTGGAGTTGTGCTCTCAGTCAAAATGAACATCAAATGCGTATACATGTCTAACCACGCAAACAACAAAGCACTGATAAAATGTAAGATCTATAACATTTGGTCCGGAAACGTAAATATTAATGTTCCCCAGAGGATCAACCTTTCTTCCTTTGGTAAGTTTCTGACTTTCTATGTAGCGACCTTCATTGTTGTGTGTGTCTAGCTGTCATAATGTGGGAATACAAAGCTACAAAGAAGGGTTTTCTGTTTTATTTCTCAAACCTTGAAAACAACATATTGATCATATTATCAGTCACATTTGTATCATTATTCTGACATAAGATAAATGCAACACAGACGCTGTATCTCGCAATGTAAACAAAACCATGATTTGTGCATATGCAGCAATATTTGATCTGCTTCAACATTTAATGAGTTCTTTCTTTGCACATGCCCACAAATGCATGAATATCAGGCCATTTGTTTTCATGTGATGCTGACGGATAAACAGACTTAAAATGCAAAATCTCCTTGTCTTTTTTAACTGTGTTAATTGACTCAATTCAAAAACAAGACTCATTTCATTTTCTTACTGTTTAGACCTTCACTAAATGTGGAATAAAAATATTTGAGAGATTTAAAAAGATCAGCACTGATGTTAAACATGTCTGGTTGTTGGTAAATGTACCAACATATCCCAAATCAGTGGTTCTCAACTGGTGGGTCGCGACCCAAAAGTGGGTCGCGGACCCGTTTCAAGTGGGTCGCAGATGTGTGAGACAAATGAAGACAAAAAACTTAGAAAAAAAAGAAAAAAAATTTGGGGGAAAAAAGTCAAACTTTTATTTTGAAGGCCCGATTTTCTAACGCTGTGCATGCAGTAGGCGTTGGACTGGAAGTACCGGAGACCATGAACGGTTTTGAAAACTTCTGTCACTTAGTGATCATCTTCTCAATAAAACATCTTTGCTGATGTTTTTTCGAGTCTTCTGGCCTTTGATCAGAATCAAGATTGTTGCCGGAAGTCCCCACGGAAAATAACTTTGCGGTAGAACTATTCTTTATACATCCATGGGTACAACTTCAGATAGAAATGAACACATAATGAAATATGACCCCCAGTTTGATGATTGACAGGTCACAGAACAATGGGAGCTATCTACCCTTACCCACAATTTAAAGTAATTCACACAGACTATCTCCTCTTTGCTCTTCTCTCTGTGAGGAGCAGCAAGCTGTCAGAACAAAGTGAAAAACAAACAATGGCATAAAATATTATTAATATGTCGGGTAGTAATAGATTTATTTATTTTCTTCTCAGAGTGTACCAGAATGGGTAGTTTATATGTTAGTATTTCAAAAAATCTCCTGGGGGAGAATCCCCCCAGACCCCCCTTCTGGGGTTGGGTTTTCAGCATGCGGGCCTTTTTATGTTATGCAGTTCAGCTTTGATTGCATCATCTCATTAAACCTTATTTAAAGTCATACTTTAGTTCTGTGAAGGGATATAAGAGATATATGCACTGTACTTCACTTTAATTAATAATGTATGCTGAAAAGAGTATATTTTACTGCACGATTTTTTGTTGAATAGATTTGAGTGGTTCAAAATGTCGGGTCGCGATCTATTGACTAAGGAAAAAGTGGGTCCCGAGGCCTGACCAGTTGAGAACCA